GGAGTATGGGAACAACTCATCTGGTACGCATTACAAAATGAAGTAGGTTTCTGTTTTCCTAAGCCCGCTCATATATGTTTGATTCCGCCGAGTGCAATAAAAAGGGAGCAACTAGGTGCTATAGCAGTTCCATACACAAAATTTTAACATTCCACGGCTATCTTTTTTTTAATTATGGGAGATGCACACATACATACAGACATGCACACATGCGTAAGTACGGATGTCATGATTCCTTTTGAATCCCTTTTATAATCAGTATTGGGAAAACAGCCCTTTAATCGGTGTCCGCCATAAACATCGCTGCAAAATCATCGCGAACGAAACGCGGTGGAGAAAACAACGAAAGGCGAAAAGGTCGTGGTACGAAACATCGTGGGAGAAAATAAAGGGGTACAAAAACTTCTCAGATTAAAAATATCTTCGTCAAAAAATATCTTGGTAAAAAATTAAAGCACCTACAAATCATCGCATGACGATAACATCGCACACATGCTTTTTCAGGTTTTAAAAGTTGTAAATGATTTGGCAGAGCAAGAAAGAAAGAGAGATTCTTTTATTTATATATATCTTATTTTTGAATGAACTACTAAATTTTTACGGAAAACATAAGAAGGAGACTTAAGTATTTAAAAATTGAAAATGAGTAGAAAATTAATGCAATTTACAGAACGTAATAAAATTTTAAATTTACATAATTAATTAACAAAGGTCAATCTTTTTACTTCCTTGTACGAAGAAAAAAGGAAGTATTTTATAAAGTTTTACTGATAATTTTTTTATGAAAAATAGTCTAAAAATGCTTAGAAAACCGAAGATAAATAACTGCGTGAGGTTAACTCTATAAAAATTGCTTAGTTAATTATCAAATTATTTTCTTTCACATTCGATAATCTCATATTGTTTTGATGAAAACTATATTTTGTTTTGTTTCCGTTTATTCTTAAAATGTCGTTAACATTTTCATGTAAAGCGTGCAATCAATTTTTTGGATGTCGATTTGCTAGTTACGACGAAAGTCAGTTACATAATATGTCAGTACGGCATTTGAAAAACGTATGTGTGCGATGTTATCGTCATTCGATGATTTGTAGGCACTTTATTTTTTACCATGATATTTCCGACGACGATGTTTAAACTGCGAAGTTTTTGAACGCTTTCTTTTCTACCGCGATGTTTTTCACCACGGCGTTTTCGCCTTTCTCCCGTTGAATTTGGTGTTGGTGTATTTAATTATGGCAAAGCACACGACGGCTATCTGCCTAAAGGGAGGGAAGCCTTTCGTGGAGGACTTTCTAAGGGAAACTGGCTCGTATACACGTTACACATGGGGAAAACCACGAAAACGCCCATGCAGCCCGCCCGTTCGCGGGATTCGAACCTCAGACCGAACTACCAGTGTTCAGCGTCTTTACCGCTCGGCCGCTGGTGGGCCCAGTTGAATTTGGAAATGGCCAAATGAATACTTCTGTTGAAATATGATACCCGAAACTTTTGCTATGACAATATTTCGTTTACTTCGTACAAGAAAGTAAAAAGGGTAAATGTATCTATTGCTAAAAATGAAGACAACTGTTCTTGATAATGACGGAATGTGCAGTCATCAGAAATATATTTATTATTAGGATGTTCTATTTTGATCTACAATCCAGTAATCATTTTATATTATTAGTAATCATTTTTATAATTCCTGCGTAATAATTTTTATAATTCCTGCGTAATCATTTTATATTATTTGCTTAAAAATAGAAGTTCTATGTTTTTAATGTATTCATCGATTAATTATGAACTCATCATTGTATTAGACATTGATTTTAAAACACTTTTTAATTTAACAAAGCCCGTAATATTAAAAATCCTTTAATAAATAGCAAATTATATATCAACATTTATTTTATATGCTATTTTATTTATAGAACTTCACTTGCTTTATTGAATATATGGTAAAATATATAACGCCATATATTTAGTGGGGGTTTTAAGGTAGAGTATCTGAAGAAAATTTCTAAAATTTTGCAAATGTTAATTTAAAAAAATACTTTATAATACTTCAAAAAGGTCTCAGACACAAAGCTTAATGAATCCAATTAATTATTATATAACTGAATCTCATATTTAGAATTTAGAATGAAAATGAAACCTAAAAACAATATTTTCCTTATTAAAATTAGTTAATTTTATTCATTAAATATAAGGAGCATTGATAAATTAACGAAAAAGTGTTGGAAATAGATTATGCAACTATACAGCAGTGTTCTTAAAATAGTAATTTATATAATAAATAAATTTTAAATAATAATTTTAATAAAGATAATAATTTTTAGAAGTTTTACGTAAATAATAAAATGACGTGTGTGATCAATTAAATTATCCGGAAGTACATAGAATTAATCCTTGTTTTCTTCTTGTATTTATAGTCAATATTTTCTAGTCAAATATAAATATTTAATACTATTTTAATATAAATAATTATTATTTGCTTGAAAATGACCAATTTTCTCATCAAACTGAGAATAATTTGTTTATCTAGACTTAAAGCTAATAGAATAAAAAGCATCATTCATTTTCATTTATGCAAGCAACTATATGAAAATTTGCTATTAACGTATGCAAATTTGCCTGGGAAAAGTTCTTAAAATCCGAAAATTATTATTACAAGGATTTATAGTATCAAAAAAATTTTTTCTTCAGAAGAAGAATTATTATATCCACCGACTTCGACCTCATACGCTTCTTAATATTTAATATAGCCCTTAAGTCATACTTCACGGATGAATAAGGCATTCATTACACTGAATTATTAATTAAATGCTTTACTGCAAGCTTTAAGTATTACGTATAAAGGTATTATTCTTCATGACAGATACGTGAATACGGAAGCTGTCAGGGTTACTTAGAGTAAACATGAATGAGAAGGAATAACATAAAGTACTCCTATTACCTTATGCCTTTTCTGAAGGAAAGAAAAGTAGAAATTTAACAAGAGTATAAATGTAGAAAAAGGAAGATTTTGAATTTTTATCTTTATTTACATGTGCACTTTTATCAACCGTTGCTTAACCCCGAACAGGATATTAGTCTCGAAACGCCACTTTGCTTTAAATCGCTATAAACGGAATCGCTTTTCAAAATTTTCCCACCAAATATTATTGCTCTGTATTATATTTAAAGAAATTAAATAATAATGAAGAATCTGCATGAATGTATGCATGTTTCTCGAACTGTGAAGACACAACGGTACCTAGAGCCATCAAATTTTGAATAACGTAGTCCTCCATCCGAGCATGAGCCCCTGAAAGCCTAAATTTTCAATTTCGAGTTTACTTTATTATCTATTTCATGATCTTTAATGAATTTTTGATTAACAGATTCATTGATTTCAAAGCGAATTGTAGCAACACAGCATGAAAAAAAAAAAAAAAAAATTATTTCCAGCGCGCGAGTATGTCTATTGGAAGCTGTAAAGGTAAACTGTTTTTAAGTATTTTGCAATTTTGCTGTTGAATCTAATTTTCCGTGACGTAATCGCCAAGAATGTGATATTTAATAAATAGTGTAAACACGCAAAAGAATAATAAAAAGACCAGCAAAAGTTTCGCAAAATCATCTTAGTATGAAAACTGAACATTGATATGATGGACTGAAAAAAAAATAGAAAAATGTATGCCAACACACTCGAGAGTTCTAAACATGTACTACTATGCTACTTTTAAACTTTTTGTAATTTTGCTGTTGTTTTGCATATGGCGTAAGTGCGAAGAAAATGATGCATAAAAATAAAGCTAAAAAGAAAAGAGAAAAAAAAAAAGTTAGTAAGAGTGAATATAACAGCAGAATGGTAGGCGAGCTCAGGGAAAGCGTAAAAAACCTTAACAAACCCGTGTGGGCGACCGTTAAAATTTGAAACCCTTCAGATTTTCTTTAAATATTTTATTATTAAAAATTTAATCTCAAGTCTATCTTTTAGATTCAATTATTTGAAAATCGTGAGTAATTTACATAATTTAGCTAAAGAAAAAAACGCTGAATGTAACTATAAAAAGGTATTCCGTGAAAGCTTGATGCGTTACTTGACGAAAATTGATTTCGAAACATTACATTTTCACTGCTATATTATTTTGTAACTGTGCATCGATAACAGTTTTTATTTGTAATATAATCTTTTAAAATTTTTCGGCGTTTGGGAATTTGTAGCATAAAAAGCTAAAAACTCTTTGCTAATAGCTTAATAATTTACATTTTCTAACTTCCGACACTATATGTTTAACTCATTAAAAGCTTTTGTTAGCAGACGCTCTTTGACTAAGTTAAACAGTCAAACATACTGAAGTTTCTATAAAATAAAATACACGCCTTTTTTGCATGAAATATAATATATAATATTGTAGTTCAGATATTGTATGGGCATAGTTTTACAATAAATTCTTTTTGAAGCGCATGTACGATCTTATCTGATATATAAAAAATATAAAATTCTTGTAAAAAAGAGACTTAAGTGCGAAGTGCGAAGAAAATGATACATAAAAATAAAGCTAAAAAGAAAATAATTACTTCAACATAATTTTGCATTGAAATAAGCAGTGTATGAAGCAGTATAAGTACACGTGCAGGTTAGTATCATGCATATGCTTACTTAAAAAGATCACGATTAGACATTCTAAAAAGTTCGCTTCTTTACTAATTCATGTATTATTTCAAATGCGTTAATTTCATTAAATTTTTACTAAAAGTTAAGAGACACACACAAAATAATGAATAATAAATATAACACTTTATAATTAGTTGTAATTTTCTTGAAACATACGTTTTATTTTCCTATGTATTGAATTTGATTTTATTTTATTCTCAGTTATTTGATTGTAGTTGATGTAGTCTCTATACTTTCAATAATGCAGTGTAGTTTATTTCAAATATTCCCGTTAGTACTATGTCTGCTAGCTAAAAGTGTGCTTAACGCTACATGGAAATCAAACTAAGAAGACAGAAAGAGTAAAGTTTACCTGTACCACTCTAGCCCTCTGTCATAAAATCTGTCGAAGAAATGCGTTTCCGGTCCTGTAGCTCGGATATCCGGGTGCAATCTCAGAAACTCCAGCAATGCTCTGGTTCCACACTTCTTCACCCCTATTATGAGAGCCTGGGGCAATCTGCGCTGTGCCCCTCCCGCACCCCACAATCTCATCATCGTTTCGCCGGATCCGGAAGTCTGAGAACCATTGCTGACGGATAGTAATAAGTCTGCGCTGGAAGATTTGCTTTCTTCCGCACTGGATGGACCGGACTTGATCCTTCGGGGCAACCATATTTTCACAGCATAAGCTCCCTCATCTTGAGGGGAGAGATTCACCTTCGGAGCGTCCGGTCGCATATAAGAAATAAAAATTCTGTCAGTAGCAATAACTGGGTAAGTAGATAGGATGTGCCATGTGTAGCAGGTAATGGAACAGCAGATAAGCGTCAGCATAAACGTTCTTCTGAAAATTCTGCACCTTCCTGGCAAGTCCATCTTAAGAAGTTATTCCTTTAGTATCATTACACTCACAGAATTTTTGCCCATTTTCATGCGTTCTAAGTTGAGAATTTATGTCCTAATTACTTTAAACAAAGTCTTTCTTTCTTTTTAATTCTTATCTGAAATAATACTTGGCTTTCACGAGAAGTTTTAATCAAAATTGCAATACGTATTTCTCTATGATTCATATTTCAAAACTCAAAGCGAATCTTCTTTTACAGTTTTTGTTTTGCATTGGAATCTACTTAAAAAGGTAACATCTGTTATTATAGTAGGTAGAAGCCACAGAATTTCTGTTAATAACAGCAATTCGTGAAAATTTCTTTTCCTTTTTAAATTAAATTCTATTTTTCTTCTGGAAGAAGAAATTTATTCTTATCACTGATCACAAAATGCTTAGTAAGCTGATGGGTAGGATAAATTTTAAGTATTGCAAATTAATCTAAGACAAAGTTAATTTAAAAAATCGTTACCTTTTTTTTGCACTAACAGAAAAATGTTTAGAAACGAACTTCAAGTTACAGGTTAGGAGTTTGTCTTCTTGGCTTATTTCCCTTAAAAATTTATATATGACAGTAAATAGAGATCCAGCTTTATTTTATCTAACAGTAGCAGTGTTTGGAGAAGTTTCCTTTTGGAATTATTAAGTTTGGTTGTTACGTAAGTAGATTTTGTTGCTCACCAATTTAACAACAAAAAACTGCCGTAAAGTTTTTCGATAACGCATATTGAAAGATCTACGAAATCTTAAGCTTCCTTGCAAGTGTAATTAATACACTTACAATATTTATTGATGAAATGACGGCACTTTAATTAAAACATTGCATTGTTCCTTATTAAAAACTCAAAAACTATTTTTAATATCACCACTGATACTCAACAAAAAGTCTGCGATATCTTCTTTAAGTCATTTTAATATGCAAAAACTACGAAACTGAAATGTTGACATCAAAAGCCACCATTTCCCACGTGTAACGCAAAGAGAGACATGCAAAGACAAATTTATCATCGTGTTAAGATCTACGATATCGATAAAGTAATTAAAAAGCAATCAAGTAATCTGCTCAACGCACCGGTGGAAAAAGTTTACCAATCTGTTCACCAAAACAGCTCACCATGCTGTAACATCCCAAACGATCAGAAGCTTGCGAGAACCGCACGTAGTGCATGAACTGCCAGAGGGAGCTGAACGCTGTTCTGGTATAGAACTTGCCTCCCGCAGAAGCCACGTGACCACAATTCGATTCGACGTGGGGGAAGATATATCCAGCGACACCTGTCGGTCGATGGTTGAAACGAGAATTATTCCGTCTTGGAATTCCAGTACCGGGTTGTTAAAGGCGAGAAATCTTCGCAAGATGTCTACTTCTCAGGCTTAAAACTTCAGAATAACGTGCAGGAAGGTTTCGTAAATTATTCGTATTTATTTAATCAGAGGTTTAAAGTTAAATTTGCACAACCATTCCTAATAACAGTACACCTATATTAATTTACCTATCTCAAAGACTAGAATTGTTTGTCGCATTAATTTGCGTACTCAAATGAAAAGATTGTCGTTTCTTAAAATTACGATTCCAAACATTTTTTTTTAAAGACCAAAAGCAGAAAAGAGAGTTTGAATAAAAAAGAATGAAATTTTAAAACAATTCTTAACTTCTTATGTTACTACACAAAAATGCTCCAAGGTTTGTTTCGATATATGAGTTTATAAAAAATTTATATAGGATCTGCATGGCTGGATTAAGCTTTTTAGAGCCCTAATCACTTAAAAGATTCTGGTGCCCCCGCGTATGTTTAACCCAGTTTTATTTTCTTTCCTTCTTTCACTTTTGGTTTAGCTGCGCCATGCGTTCCATTGTAAAACCGACAATAGGAAAATTTTTGATGCTCCCTTTCCTGAATACCTTAGCCCTTTTCCGGTGTCCCTTTTCCTTGATGCCCTAATCTGTCCTTATATTGCTTAATGATTAATCGAGCCCTGAGTATTTACAGTGTACTAATTATAAACAATGTTTTTTTATTAAGCTTTTCATTTTACGAATGACAAACGATAGTTTGATTCGCTTTGGTAGATAAAGTTCCTATTTATTATCTGCTAAATATTATATTATTTTTTGTTTATTTTTTTAATTGTTTACCTTCTGATTAAAGCACGACAGTTAAGTCAGAATTTATGTTAGAAGTAGTTTTAACTGAAAACAAGGTTACGGCAGTTTTACTGACTTCTTTTAAGTCTTCTTAATATTAATTCGGAAGTCAAACAACAAAAATCAGCGTTATATTTTCAAATTTTCACAGGACTAGTTTCGATGGTTTTACTGAACCACCATCCTCAGCTGCAAAAGCGCAGTGTTCGGCTCATTCATTCTTTCTTAGTCATAGGAGAATTGTAATCTTTGAACTTTATTCAGATGAGATGACAGGATACAGTTGCTCATCAAAGAAAATATTTGAAAGATAATTAATAAAGAATGCATCCAGTATCAGACAGAATGTTAAACGCTGAGAATTGTAGCTCATTTTGCAGTTTCTTTTTAACGGCATGGAATTAAATTAACAACTCTCGAAAAGTAAAATACGCAAAAGATTGATAAAATTCTCTCCATTAAATTTTATTCTGACTTCTCATTTCGAAATAAGAAGCACATTACTAATATAAAAACATGCAATAGAAAATTACTTGATAAATATGAGAATAAAAAGTAAAGGGAATTTTAATGGCTTAGAAAAATTTAACTAATTTTACTAGTTCATGAAGAACAAATAATGGCGATTTCAAAAGGGCAGGAAGAGTTTCTCGAATGTATATTTACTATATTCAAGTGCACGATATCAATCAAAAAGATGCAGAATCGGTAAGAGATCTGATATAAATGTGAAGAAGTAAAATTCGATAAAACAAAAATGAATTTTTTTGGACACTAACATTATTAAATTACTGTCAATGATCGAAAGAAACCAGTCTTAAAAATTTAAGTGAAATGTGCCTATTTTTGCTTCCTTATACGAAGTAAAGATAGTATTGTAATTGCAAAAAAAAATTGGGTATCATATTTGAACAAAAATATCCATATTGACCGCTCTTGTATCCATCTGAACGATGTTTTTGCGTTTTAAAATGAATTCAGAAGAGATTTTTTATGTGACGTCTGCGCGTACGTACGTATGTATGTCTCTCGTATAACTCAAAAACGAGTAGTCTTAGAACGTTGAAACTTTGTATATGGGACTGCTATAACATACAGTTGTGCACCTCCCTTTTTCGTTGCAGTAGGCAGCACGAAACACATACACGCATATATATATATATATATATATATAAGTAATATTTTCGCAGTCGGACACATGAATGAAGCTTGGCATGAAATGATGACACAGAAGAAGTTAGCTGTTTTGATTCCACATCTTTATTCAATTCAAATGGCAAATCATTATTCTCTTAGATTCTCCAAAATTATATAAGAGATAGCAATTTAGACTCAATAGGATTAACTTTAAATTTACTGCTTCATACTATTCAAACAAGGAAAGAAAGACTGGAAGAGCGGCAGCAAAGGTGTTATAGTGACAGGAGGAGAAAAGCAAACTAATCAAAAATTACGTTCCGTTTACCGCTGTTCGCCGCGCTTAGCGAGAACGTGAAGTCTAGCTTTTGCCATGGAGTGAACTCTACATTTATATTAGCGATTACATAACATGCCAGAATGTTCTCGAAAGTACTGGTCTAGGGAAAAGATCCTGAAATTGCGGAAAGTTAATTAGAGGTTGCCTGTTCGCGTAGAGCAAAGCCATTGTATTTTTTATATTTTACATATACGTGTGGCTTTATTGGAAGGATTAATCCAAACGCATAAAAAAGCTTAAGTTTCACATAAGAACAATGATATGTAATAAAAAATAACAAACATTTGAAGTAAAAACCAGAACGAATTAACATGAGAACAAAAGTAAAAAGTTAAAAATTTAAACAACAAGGAAAGGAATATATGAGATGTAGTCCTTACGAGAAGTTCATGAAAGTGCTGACATTCCAGTATAGTTTGCTTATCTCACCACGTTTCTGAGACTCTTTATCTAGTTCTGGGCATAAAGAAGATGCTCTGCATTTATGATGACCGAATTACAAATTTGACATAGACTAGATGGAAGATGCTTATTTTATTAAGATGATGTGCCATGCAATATATATAACAGAGTGAATATGTATATATATATTCACTCTGTTACCCCGCTCGGTGAGGTACATTTTTTTCATTCTTATTTATTGATTAAATTTTGCATTTTTTGTTTTAGTTGTGATTGAATTATGTCGTTCTTATCTTCCGCTCAAAGTTTTATGTCTTTAGTTAATTTGCGTTTGTTTACGTCTGAAACTCTTAGTATAATAGTGAATTAAGTCAGTTCGTGCACTAAATTCAATGTATTTTTGCCGAGTGGGACCAAAAGTTTACTTTCAATTTTGTACACCTAAAAATCTGTCTTCCTGCCCGCTGCCCGAATTGATTGTCTTCGCGTAGAATCTCTAAATTGTTTTTAACTCTATTTGGTGTTTTATGTGTTTCCGTATTTTACAATTTTTAATGAAGGTACTTTGATTTTTTATGTATTTTTACCATGCTGCGGAGTTGAATTAATTGAATAAGAAATATATCTGTAATGAAATTCTAGAAAACAAGTTTAAATTAAATGCAGGAAATGTGTCTAATTTAATAGGTTTTACAAGGAAACCGTAGTGCCCTCATCAGACATTTATTCTTTCTATAATTTTACATTTAAGGATAGTTTGTTACTTGACTTTCATCATAGTGTAACCAATTAGAATACGCCAAGGTAAAATTCGATTTGAAATAGTTATTTGAGTTGTAGTTCAGTTACTGCCTGAATCATAGAAACTAAAACTGTAATTCAGTCTGTCTCTGAGTGTTTTGGTAACTAAGGGTGTAAGTTTATAAATACAGTACAAATATGAGATCTGATAACAATCAAAATGATCGCTTCTTTAAAAAATACACTCAATTGCTCTTACAATTGTATCACTAGGAAAGGAAATATAGTCTCCATTTACAGTACTACCAGATATCTCCACGGTAAGGTACGTTTCGTTGCTAACTAATCTTTATTTCAGTCGTTACGTCGCTGCTCATTATACACTGTTAAACAACAAAAAACACAAAACGTTAAATTTACACTTTCTTGACAACGTTGAATTGAAACAAGAAATAAAAAAAATCAAAACGTAAAGTAGAATTTTCTAGCTAAAATGCTATTTCCTTATTAGCTAAATTACAAATGCTATTTCCGTACTCTGGATAAGCTGAATAAATTTAAAATTAATCAGATTAATTTTTTTATAAATTCAGTACATCCTCTGCTATAAATAACACACCTTTTTAGGTTTATCTATCTATAAATTTGATTTAAAATGCCTTTAATTTTGATTTAAAAATTACCTTAAATCTTTACAATCATTAATTAACCTTTTAGTACCCATGATTTGTAACGACAGTTTCAGTGATTTGCATTCAATGAGAGCGTCATTACTTATCTCGAAGCTCGTAAGCCATTCGTTAAAATACGTACACGGTTGCAGGCAAATATATATGCATTCTAAACATCAACTACCATGAGTGGCTCTTAATGAGACAAACGCTTCAGTCGCATTAATATCACTCCCCAAGCAAAAAAAAAAAAAAAACTCGCATCCAAACTAAATGATCTCTTGTGCGTAAATAGCTGGCAAAAGCTCTGCTGTTGCATTCTTTCATTAGCTTCCACTCTCAAGAGAAGAGTAGAGCTGTCAGACGAATTAGATTCTTAATGTCTCCTACTCCACAGCTTAATCGAGTTGGCCCAAAATGAGCAAAAGATAAAGATTCGACTGAGCCTGCATTGTTTTTGTTTTTGCTTTCAGAGGGTGGGCGGTTGATGGATGACCCTCCAGGAAAGAGCAAAGAGTTAAAGATGGAGCTTAAGGGGACTCGAGGCTGACGAACTTATGTTGTCTATTATAAGGTAAAGTGAAGTTATTGCTTAGAGTCTATTGCCAATAATTAGAATATTTGCTCCTGCTACTGGAAGATTTAGCAGGAAATACATAGTTCGATGAACGCTACTGCAACATGCATGAACCTTTATAATTACTTGTTTGAGATTTTTGCTTAGAATCACAGAAGTCAATGTTGT